CAACTGGTACATGTACTGTAAACTAGTACCTGTACTGTACTAGCTCTAACTGGTACATGTACTGTACTAGCTCTGACTAGTACATGTACAATACCAGCTCTAACTAGTACGCGTACAGTACTAGCTCTAACTAGTACGTGTGCTGTACTAGCTCTAACTGGTACGTGTACAGTACTAGCTCTAACTAGTAGGCGTACTGTACTAGCCCTAACTAGTACGCGTATTGTACTAGCTCTAACTAGTAGGCGTACTGTACTAGCCCTAACTAGTACGCGTATTGTACTAGCTCTAACTAGTACATGTACTGTACTAGCGCCAACTGGTACATGTACTGTACTAGCTCTAACTGGTACATGTGCTGTACTAGCTCTCACTGGTACATGTACTGCACTAGCACCTGTACTGTACTAGCTCTAACTAGTACGCGTACTGTACTAGCCCTAACTAGTACGCGTATTGTACTAGCTCTAACTAGTACATGTACTGTACTAGCTCTAACTGGTACGTGTACAGTACTAGCTCTAACTAGTACGCGTACTGTACTAGCTCTAACTGGTACATGTACAGTACTAGCTCTAGTACGCGTACTGTACTAGCTCTAACTAGTACCTGTACTGTACTAGCTCTAACTAGTACATGTACAGTACTAGTTAGTACCTGGTATGATGAGCATCAACTTGATAGTTTTATGTAGTTTTTTTTAGAGTTGTTCGTAGTCGCTCACAGAATCAGTGAGAGCAAAAAACCCTATCCAATAAAACGTTGTCGCTCACAGAATCAGTGATAGCAAAAAACCCTATCCAATAAAACTGCATCGCAGTACTACTACAGTACTACCGTTTGCAGTAATACTTTGCTGCTATCTTTAAGGTCGTCGAGGGTTTTTTTCCGCTCCAACGTTTTCGCGGCTCTATGTTTTTCGGGCGGTGTGACTGTGAGTTCTGGTTCACGCCGTAGACTGAACGGCGGACGTTGTTGGAGATATTTCTGTCAGCGTTTGTTCCTCCCTGAGTAAATCCTGAGGAGTTTCAGGCCCTGGAACCTGTTCTGTTCTGGAGCCGTTGCAGTACTTGTACTGCTGCCAAGTGTACCTGTAACTGTATATGTACTCTGTAGGGTTGTCTTAGGTGAGGAGACAATGGTGCAGGATTATCATCCCCGCTAAGTAGGTTATTATATGTGATGGCTACAAGAGGAGGAGGAGGAGGAGGAGGAAGAAACCGACACTGAACCGTTTATGTCACGGAGAAACCAGACGTGAATTCAGGGTGGGGTCAAATCCTCCTGCTCTGTTAACAGAAACAAAAAAAAAAAAAACGAGGTCATCGAGTTTTTAACGGCAGTCGATGTGAGGGGCTAATATCACAGTATAAGAATGATGTCATCATTGGGGGCGGGTCTTAGAGCGCTCTCACATGATCAGAAACACATTCTGCGATCGACGCAGAACTTTGAGAACGATTTCTAATCACAGGTAGAGACAGAAAACACGTTTTAAAAAAGAAGGTCAAATGAACGTTTACTACGATGAAATGTGTTTAAGATTTTCACGTTGTGATTGATGAGGCGTCTCAGTCCGGCGTCCGTTGTTGTAGTTGTGTTGAGGTCGGGGTTGTCGTGGAAACGGCAGCGTTGTTGTAGCTCTACATGGAAGACGAGTCTTTTTGTTTCGCACAAGTCATGAACTGGTACACACCCAAACACACACACACACACACACACACACACCGTGTAGCTGTGCTCATGCTAGGCCTTCGCCCTTCATCCTTCATCCTCCTCCTCCTCCTGCGTGTGCGTGTTATCGTTGAACCAGCGACGCTGCCTCACCTCATCCCTTCCTTAAACGTTCTGCGGTCTATTTTTATCGTCTCTCCTTTTGTACGTTTTTCTCTCCTCACATCTGCCGCCTCAGCGTTCCTCCTCTGGACCTGCTGTAAATGCTGCTGCTGCTGCTGCTGCTGCTGCTGCTGAGAGCAGAGAGAGAACACACAGATCTGTCTTTGATCTGCCTTTGATCTGTCTTTGATTAAAGCTGCCGATCTCAGCTCATCAGGTTTGAGCCAAAAAAAAAAAACCATCCCCAAAAACTCCGTTTTTAAGATGTTTGGTTTCTCCCCAAAAAACTCTGTTTTTTAAAATGTTTGGTTTCTCCCCGTGAACCGAGCGTGACGAGGTCATCCACCGAGTACGCATTCTTTGGCCGCTCTTCAACTTTAAAAAAAAAAAAAGGCAGTGAAAGTCCTGCGAACATTCTAGGAACATTCCTGGTTCCTGTGCCAAGATGGAGACACATGGTTAGTACGGCAGATCAGTCTGGGCACGTTGGTGAGCTGTAGAGAATAATGTTCTAAACTCTGGGGGGGGGCGGGGAGGGTCGGGGGGGGCAGTCAGCCACCGATGTTGATATAGAACCTTGCTCTGATCACCGGACGACTCGTTTAAATATTTGTTATAAACATTGATTTCACCGTTTTCAAACCTCACGATCAACGTCAGAGCAGTCGCTCCAGTTGACCAACCAGTTGTTGAGTTGCCGAGTTGCCGAGTTAGTACCCGTTCCTTCATAATAACGCGACAGTCCTCTATAATCTGAACAGCAAAGTTCACCACCACCACGACGATAAAGAACACTTCCCCTCCCCGCCTGTTGGTGGTGCCACCTGGTTCTCTGACGTACCTGGTGATCCTCACCCCGGGGTCATTGTTCATCGGCGCGGTGTGTACTGTACGGCCTTATCACCTGATACACGCAGATACACGCAGATACTCACAGATACTCAGGTCGTACTGGGACACCGTCAGTTACAGTTACAGCTCGTCACCGTCAGGCAGAGCAGCTGATTGGCTCATTCTGGTTCCAACATTGTCTTTGACTCCTATTGTTTTATGTTATATATA